ATATTGCTTTTAAACTGTTCTCTCCCTCATCTGTTTCAATGCAGTATACATAATTCATCCATCTTTCACTCAAAACAAAATTTTAAAAAAATTCCTGATGGTTATCACGGAATCAACCATTAGAAATCAGTTGTTTAAAAATTGAGTATGTTTCCATTTACCATTTATCATTTGCTTATGCTGAAAAGAATACAAAATATTTTGTAAAATGGAGGCATTTTGGGAAGAAATAATTATGTAATAATTATGAAATAATTATGTAATAATTAGATTGGAAAAAACTTGAAGGCGGATGGTCTTGTACCTGAGTAGTTTCTCCACCATTTAATTAACACAGTAACCTCGGGTAAGACACAGGCCAAGCAACCTCTGAGCCTTGTCAGAAGCAAGATCTACATCGCAGGTGCTTCCTATAAACTCCCACTCTTTTTTTCCTTTAATGTATATAACAAAATATTCGCCATTTTAGCTACATTTAGGATATAGTTCAGTGACATTTTTTATACTCATCATGCTGTACAACTGTCACCATTATCTGTTTATAAAACTTCTTTATCATCCCAGATAGAAACAATGCCCTATAAACAAGAATTCCCCTTTCCTCCTTCCTCAGGCTGTGGTAACTCCTGTAGTTAGAAAGGTTTTAGTCTTTATGAATTTGCCTGTTTTAGATAGTGTATGTATTATACCTTTATGTGTCTGATCTACCTCTCAGCATGTTTTCAAGATTCATCCATGTTTTAATATGCTTTAAAATTTCATTTCTCCTCATTCATTTTTTTAGCTTCTGAAATCATCATCATCATCATCATCATCATCATCTTACCTGTGTATTTTTTAATCACTAAAGAAGTGATTACACTGTGACAACTAGGTTGGCTATGTGGGTGTTAACATCAAGTGTCTTTTTCTATTTCCTGTTTTCCTGATTTTCTCCAAGTGCTTTCAAGGCAGCAGGGCTTGGACAGCTGCTCCAAAAGACCACCTGGAGAGCAGCTGTGGTGGGGTCTCTACACAGTCTGCCCCCACCGATCCCACTCCTGCTGTCTCCCATCTAAACGAGGAGAGCTCCACCAAAGGGAAAGCACAATCAAGGATGATTTGTGCAGGACCTAATTTAGAAAAGTCTATTACTTTGACAATGCTAGCAGCAGGGGCTATCAGAGGAGCTCTGATGGGTTAGTGGTAAGAAATAGAGCTGCCAACCCAAAGGCACACAGTTCGAATCCATCAGGTGCTTTGTGGGAGAAAGATGGACAGTCTCCTTCTGTGAGATTTATTGCCTCTGAAAACCTGCTGGGGGTCAGCTATGGGTCATTCAGACTTGGTGGTACATAACAACAACATCAGGAGGGGCTGAAGAAGGTCAGAGAAAGAGAAAGAGCCTCAACAAGATAGACTGACTCAATAACTGTAAAAATGGGCTAAAGCGAGTGGGAGACTGTGATGATGGTGCAGGATAGAGCAAGGCTCAGATCTGTTGTTCATAGGGTCACTATGAGTCATAGTCAACTTGATGGCACATAACAACAACAACATTAATAATAAATATTTCAAGACATCTGGTGCCATTGTACATGGCTCAGTCACTTACATGCCTTTTAATGACTAGGAGGAACCCTTCTAAAACTTGAGGAAGACAAAGGGTTTGTCCCTTGAGAGTTACGACCAGGGTCCTGCTCTGGCTGGAATGGAAAGAACAACTGGAGCCCAAGAGGCACACAGACACCAGGATGAGCTAGTAGTGAGGTGCTGCTTCCTTGGGACTTTCACCTTGTTGCATTCTGAATTTATTTCATGATGGGAGCATATTTCTATCTCAGCCTATAACACTGGACCTTTTAAGGTTAGCTTAGTTAGCTCAGCTCTTAAGAATCAATCAGCAGTTGCAAATAGAAATACCATTTGACTCAGCAATTCCACTACTGGGAATTTACCCTAAAGAAACCAAATTGCCACCCAAGCAGATATATGCATGCCCGTGTTATCGTGGCTTTGTTCTCAATAGCAAATAGTTGGAAACAACCTAAGTGCTCATCAACAAACAAATGGCTAGAGAAGCTCTGGTATATTCACACAATGGAATACTATGCAGCATTGAAAAACAAGGAACTCATGAAATATGATGCAAAATGGATGACCCTGGAGGACATTATGCTGAGTGAAACATCTCAGTCACAAAAGGAAAATATTGCATAGGGCCACTGTTGTAAAATGGGACTGACACTGGGGTTGAGGGAAGACAGAGAAGGAGGGGAGGAATGATGTATACTGCATTGAAAAAGACGAGGGAAAGAACTCTTTAAAAGGGATATAGAACACATGAAGAAATGCTCAAAATCCCTAGCCCTAAGAGAGATGCAAATTAAAACAACTATGAGATATCATTTCACCCCAGTCAAAAT